CCTGTAAATTTTAGCGGGCTTTCAAAGGTAAGTAATAGTACACCTTTCCCATTAAACACAACTTTTTTTTTTGGGGGGGGGTTTATTATAATTATGTTGAATAATGGATATTTTTGAAGTTTAGGTAAATATGTGTATAGTAGTCACATGCAAGTTGTCTTTTTGCACATTTGTTTTTCACCTGTTTACTTGTCGTATCTTGGTGTTTCATCCATGTTAATATCATGTGAGGGGCAACATGGTTACTTGGAGAAGCAAGCAGTAGATTGTGGTAACTAGGAGCATTGCTGAATTGAAGCAGGATTTAGGGCTTTGGGTAGTAGTATATATATGAAGGACTTTGTTGCAATAATGCTCAAGTAATTAGGAATTTCTTTGAAAGTCTTTTTGATAATAACCTGCTATTATCATTGCTACAAAGCTAATTCATCATGACAAAAAAAAAAATTTAGAGATTGATCACCTCTTTAGAAAAGAAAAAGTTGATGATGGGGAATTCTCTGTAATTCCTTTTGGCATTGCTGGATTCAATCCATCTTTCCCTTAATCCAGACAAGGATTTATTCTCTTGACTACTTGGACTCATTTTCATGCAAGTCCTATTTTCATTTTTCTTACTTCATCTCAACAATGAATTTTACCTTTTGGACAAGTCTTTTTGGAAATCGATCGCTCCCTCTAAGGTCAAATCCTTTGTATGGACTTCAATTCTAGGAAGGATTAATATGAATGATTTACTTCAAATATGAAGACCTGTAACAGCTTTATCTCTTGACTGTGTGATGTGCAGATTGAGTTCTGAAACTAATTCTCATTTGTTTATGCATTGCTCAGAAGTTTTTTTTTAAATTTTTTTTATGGATATCCTACGAAATCCTAAACCAATACACCCCCCTAAGTTTTCCCAAAACAAATATATAATAAAATAAGCGAAAAATTATTATTTTTAAAAATGTTAATTAGTTTTTCTTATTTTATCTTAAAATCCAATAGAAGTATAATTATCTTCTAAAAAGTGAGCATAAAAAAGATGTATCATCATCATATATTGTTATAGATTCATTCTTTGTCCCACTTCCAAAATTTTTTATTTTTTATATTCTAATATCTTAATCCACCACTTTAATTTTATTATTTTGAAATAGTTATATAAGAATAAAATTATGTCCATTGATTTTCAAATTTCAAGATTTTGGATTTAATAAAAAAAAATAATATTAGAAATATTTTTAATACAATCAAGATTAGATTAGTTTCAAATAAGATCAGAGAATACTTTTATCAATATCATGATATTAAAAAAATTAATTATTGATTAGGGGTAAAAGGACAATATTTATACATAAAAAATATTATTTTTAATGTTATGTTATGTAGAGATAGGTTATTTTTTTCACAATACGGTGGAAGTTTCATGCTATCAAGAAAATTTCGAAAAACAACAATAATCTCATATAAGAAGTGAAACTTGCAAACACTTACATTAATACTCTAGTGTCCAAGTTAATAAGTGTTGATGCGTCAAATAAGCCTTAATTAGTTACATGTCTTTTAGGAATAATAAAATGGGTTGTGACTCGCGGGTTGGCTCGTTGGCTCGCCAAAAATTGGCGGGTTGAGCCTATCATTTCAACCTGTTAAATCTGTCCTGCTAAACCTGTCAATTCGTCGGGCCAAATGGCGGGCTGCCCCATCATAACTTGCCAACTTGCATAAGTAATTAGGCTTCAGTTCCTTACACAAGTAATGAACTTGTTTTGTAGACTATTAAAAAATTTAGATTATTAGTAATTTGTAAGTTTATAATTTGGTTTTGATTTTGGTGTAAGTAAACTAATTTCTATTTGATTTTGTTCTAAGTTTGTAATTTGCTTTTATTGAACATATATTATGTATAATATGTATGCATTTTTAATTTCATATGGTTATATTTATTTATTTGTAATTTTTTTTTATTTAAACATAAAATATATTTTTTTTTTCATTTTTTTTTATAATTTTTTTTAATATGCGGGCTAGCTCGCTGACTTGCCAGCCCGTCCTTAGACAGGGCGGGCCAGCGTTTCCAACCCTTTTTTCATTGACAGACCAGCCTGTCTCAGTCTATTTTTATTAGTGAGCTGGGCCGGGTCGGATCGTTCCGTTTTACCGCCTCTAAATTGCCTTTAAATATGAAATGTTTTATAAAACAATAAAATAATAGTTAAATAGTTACAATTACCACTAGAAAATTGTTAAACTAGCAAGTGCTGAGAGAGTAGAACCAGGAAAGAAAGGGGGAGAAGAAAAAATGGGGAAGAGACTAGAGAGGGATGAGAGAGACAGAGGAAAAGGGATAAAACGGGCCCCACTTATAGTGGCCAGAAATCTCTGAGGCAAGCTTCACAAAGGTTTTCGACATTTTTCATTTTTTGTGTTTTTTTCCTTTGTTCTTTTTTGAACATATGCTTATTGGTTTTTTAGTTGTCGTAGATATCTGGTTGTTTGTTCTAGTTTACTTGCATGTGTTTCTCAAGGTTTTTTTTTTGGCAGAAGTTTTTGCAAGTGTTTCATTGACGAGAAGCTTTTGGTCCTAGAGGTTGCTCTTTTGGTGCAAGAGTGGAGCTGCGTTGTAAATGTCATTGTTGAATAGTCGCAAAGTGGGGAGGAGACTGGAGAGGGTGTGACAGTTGAAGGCTTACCATATTAATTTCATTATGGATAAAAAATAAATTATTCTATTTATAGATTAAAATATTTAAATTTATGATCAGATTATCAATAAAAAAATCTCAACCACCAAATTGTTTAATAAAAAATCCAACGATTCAATATAGTACTCCAAAAGCAGGGTTGTGGACTTGTGGTAGTGGCAAGACTATTGAAACCAATGGCTTAGGCTCCCTCAATCTTTTATATATATATATATATATATATATATATATATATATATATAAATTGAAAAGTTTGTTTAAGTTATAGAAAAAATTAGTTCAATTTTTCTTTGAATTTAAAATAAAATGACATTAGAATAAATATACTAATTGAATTTCATAAAAATAGTATTATTTGTAAAAAAATGTTTTGATGAAAGTAACGGTGATAAAATCATACATTATTTAAAGATTAATATATATTTTTTATTAAAAATGTTTTATTTTTAATTATTTTATATATATTAAATAATTTTATTTTCTTATACTCTTAACATGTATTAAAAAAATTAAATATATGAAATGAAATTGAATTTTTTAATCAATTTTAATAGTAGTATTGACTTATTTTCTAAATTGAAAATATTAAAAGAAATACTAACAAAAAAATTAATGTCTTATTAAAAATATTAAACTATATTAATTTTTTTTTTACATTCATGTAAAGTTTATAGAATAATTAAAATATTTGTAATCACTGTACAACACAATTTTTTCTTAAATTTTTTTTTTTTTTATAGATTCAATTGATATAAACTATATTTTAGTCAATGAGAGATTATGGTAGCTTCATCTTATACTTTTCCATTGCTAGGCAGAAAAGTGCATAAAAATTCAAAAACACGTTTTGAATCGTCCTCCACTTGGTTTCTTTCTTAAAATATTTTCATAAGGCGAATAACCAAACAAGTGACTACTCATTAATAAGACTCTGCAATCAGTGTTCAGTGTTCAGTCTGTTTAGTAGGAACCAACAACCAAAATGGGGCATTCTTCCATTTCAGCGGTAATCTTCCTCTGCAATCTTCTTCTTCTCTTGTTCTCGCCATCACATGGTGCCTCCGATGATGCGGCGCTCCACGCCAAGAAGCTCATCAGAGACCTCAACTTGTTCCCCCACGACGATGTCAACGTCGTTCTCACTGCTGCTAATTCCTCACTCCAACCCCGCAAGATCGTGGAGAAGCGCCTCAGGTTCCCGAACCTAGTTGGTTCCGATTCCGAGCCTTCGGTTGAGGATTTGGGTCACCACGCTGGGTATTACCCCATTAAGCACTCACATGCTGCAAGGTAAGCCTCTTGTGGACTTCGTTTCTTGCATAATTTCATCATTTCTGCTTCTATCGTTAGCTTAAATAAACCCTAGTAGATGTTCTCAATCTATTTTATTATGGAGAGGTGGATTGCCTTTTAGTGATTTTTTTTCATATTAAATAGCACTGTTTCACTACAAAATTATAAGCTAATATGCTATTTAGTCCTCTAAATATGATACAAAAATTTAGTCCTCTAAGCTAAAGTGGTAATTTGTGTTGTTTGATCCTTGAAAGTTTTTGTCTATACAAATCATTCCTTTGAGGTATGAAATTGTTACAAGTTGAAAACTTGTTAGGGTAAACGTGAGGCTAAGTTGAAACTTTTGAAGATCAATATAAATAGTTGTCATTTTCATAGTCTTGTACACTTAAGAATTTATTGTGATATTATGTAGTTGTTTCATGTGTTGTAATATGGTGGTAAATTGTAGATTTCAATTTTTAGTGTATTTATGTCAGTTGTTCCTCATTTGGTTGGTGCTGCAGGATGTTCTACTTTTTCTTCGAATCACGCAACAGCAAGGAGGACCCTGTTGTAATTTGGTTGACAGGGGGACCTGGGTGTAGCAGTGAGTTGGCTTTGTTTTATGAAAATGGCCCTTTCAAAATAGCTGACGATTTGTCTCTTGTGTGGAATGAGTATGGTTGGGACAAGGTATTATAATTTCATTTTTTTAATGTTACTTTTATGTGTTACAATACAATTTCCAAATTACAATGTTTGAAGTTCGCTTATTGGTGGGTGTGTATATGTAAGTAACGTAAGCAATATAAAATCAACTTTTTATGAATTCATATTGCTTCTTGAGAGATCAACTTACCACACGTTTCAGAAAGTCATTTGTATTAATCCTATTTAGCACCATCACGTATAGGGAACAATAAGACTTGACATTAGAGGGAACTTTGATATAGGAGAAACCTTTGATGATTAGGGGAAGGGGTAGGAAATTGAAAGACTGTTGCATAAAAGCATACAGGAAAATCCTAAGTGCCAACTCTCTTATTTAGATTGCTGGATAAATGAGTGGGTTTGAGTAAAAGCAAACGAGATTGTCATTTCCTATCTTCTATATTGCTCAAGTTAACAGAGTTGGAAATCATACTTTACATATGGACCCCAAATGGAATAAAAATTTTAAAGGCGAAATTATGGAAACTAGATAGACTATGGAGGCAAGCAAAACTCTCTAACTAAGGAACATTCTACTTGAACATCATCATAGAGCTTATAGGAGTACCATCATCCGATCCAATTTTCTTTTGATATTCTAAAAGAAACCAGCGGCTATTATGATATATGTCTGTGTGAGAATTAAACTTGAGTTGCTGTCTAGACATAGTTTGTGAGTCAATTTTTGCAATGTTGAAGTAGCCTTTGAAAATGATTTAGCCATTTATATATTGGTGCAGAAAGTGGATAGCTGAATAGAGTGTGTAGCTGTTCAGGTAATAAGCAAGTTTATCCCATTAGTTTTTGGCTTTTTGGTTGTCAATTTTTAAAGAACATATAAATGCACAACCTCCCCCTGTTTCTTGTCTTTGAATTTTGGATTTCACCCAACTCAACTCAGAAGTTGGCTTATGAGTTGAGGGTTACGCATTGGCTACATGACTAGTTAATGTGGGATTTGAGTTTTTCTTCTTAATACATTTCTATATGTCCAACACTATTGGGATTGGTGTGTTGAATAATGAGGTAGGTTGCTTAAGAATGGATTTTGGATAGACTCTAATATCATCTTGGATTTTGGGTTTAAGTCCACCTTAAAAGCTTTCTCATGAGGTGAGGGTTGTCTGCCATTTATATACACTATTTTAGCTATATCACTAATTAAAGCGAAACTTGGGTTTTCCCCCAATAATCTTGATATAATTGTTTGGAAACATTGAACTGTTCTACTATTGCTAGTTATTATAATAAATCTTTATGATAGAATTATGTTAATAGGAAACATTGAAATCACTTGGTCAAATTACATCAAGTTTGTTATTGAAATCACTCATTGATATGTTATTATTTGATGTCATGTTAATGCTCATAAGGGGGTCTGTCTATCTTAAGGGGCCACTGACCAATTGTTTTAAATGTTTTCCATCTCTATGTATAAAACATTATTTTAGCAACAAATTAATCTGAGCTGAAGCAACCACTTGTTGTTTATGATGCTTCACCTCTCCTCAAAGGCGAGATGGGGTTCAGCTGTCTTACTGAAGCAAAACAATTTAGTTGCTGATGTTTTAGATCAAATTTATTGGGTCAAGAAAATATGGTTTTTCATGTTTTTTTGAGATTGAGAGTTGTCTAACCACAAATTTCTCTATGAGGATAAAAATAAACTTGATATCCTAATGGTTAAACCTTAAAATCTACTTTTTGTTATGTACTTTTCATGTGAGAATTATTTATGGGAAGTAAAATTTGTTGGTAATCTTGTAGGCATCAAACCTTTTATACGTAGACCAACCAACTGGAACTGGCTTTAGTTACAGTACTGATTTGCGCGACATTCGTCATGATGAAGAGGGTGTCAGCAATGACTTGTATGACTTTCTTCAGGTACTTGTTTGCTATGAAATATGAATATTAGTTATATAATATGTTGTAAATAAAAATATCTTAGGAGATTTGATATTATTTTAGAAAATTTGCTATGATCTTTTCTTATTTATTTTATATTTATTTATTTTCATAGTTATCTGTTTTAGGGGAAAATGTATCTCTAATAATAGGTAAGAGAATAATGTAATGATCATGAATCAAATTAATTAAAATCCTCTCTTTCAACTTGGCATTAGAGCTCCCGATCTTGGGAGCTCTATTTCCGTTGCCCTAAAAAAATAAAATAAAATTTGAGACGCTACCATCTTCATTGTTGGCGTCGTCGTTGCCTCCACTACCATCGTTGGAGTCAATTGTGAACCATAAAGGCGTGCCCATCATCGAAGATCACAATGTCGTGAGTTGCACGATCAAAAACCTCCTCACGTGCTGCCACGTGCCGCCATAGTTCGTCTCTTTTGTTGATGTGTGTAGGCCATGTGCCCATCTCTGATGACACCCACTCATTGATGACCACCCAGAAAGGTTCGCTAATGACCCCCTAGCCCATTCTAAGGGGTGGTGTCATCTAGATCCTTTCGGTTTATTGCAAATCCGAGTTCTTTGTCTCAATCTCCTACTGCTTATTCTACTCGGTTCATCCATGGGTGACGAAAAAATCCTCCCTTTAGGTCCTAAAGACTTACCCAATGTGTTGGGACCATACAAACTTGATGGTTGGAACTATTTCCAATGGGCTCAATACATTTGGAGAATTCTTAAAGGTTGATCCAAATTAAGCCACATTGTGGCATAGCCCGACTCTAGATGATCCAAAATTTCAAGCATGGGATAATGAAGACTCTTTTATCATGACTTGGATGTGGCATTCTATGGTTTTGGAAATTAGTAAGAACTATGTGTTTTGCCCCAATGCAAAGAATATGTGGGATGATCTATGTGAATTGTTCTTCTTAAAGAAGGATTTTGCTTCTTTTTATGACATTAAGAGCGAAATTTTTAATACAAAACAAGGAACTTTCTCTATCTTGGAGTACCATGGGATCCTTAATGGATTGTGGATCGAGTTGGATCAGTATCAAAGCTTGAAGATGTGTAAGGCTAATGCCACAACTCATACAAAGGTTATAGAGAGAGGGAGAATTTTCAAATTCCTCGATGGTCTGAATCCAGAATACGATCCTATTCGTATATAGATCTTTGGGAAGGAGAAACTTCCCTCTCTATCTGAAGTATTTTATATTGTATGAGGTGAAGAGACTTAGAGAGTAGTCATGCTTGATAGGGGAAGCTCCAACACAGGTTCAACTATGACAATAGGAAAAGGATCCTACAAAGGGTGAACTTATGGAGGAAAACCTTTCACAAAAGGAAATCGTGGAGAATACTATCGGTATTCTAGAAGGCCTGGACATTCCAAAGAGACATGCTTCATGCTTCATGGGAGAGACAAAGTTCTTGAATGCATGGGAAACAAAGGAGCTACATAAAAATAGGTCAATCATAGAACTTCAAAACTTGAGGAGACAAATCCACCACCTCAATCTCAACTGGATTAGGATATTAAAGCATGTAAGGAAGAGATTGATCGTCTGAGAATGATGATTGAATCTATGAGTAAGCCCTCTGGCTCATGTACACTATCTATGAAGGGTAAGAGTTCTTTCATTACTTCTGGCTTCGTGTCTTAGGGAATTTGGATTCTTGATTCTGGAGCAGCAGATCACATGACTCTCTTTACTTCACTCTTTTCCTCATATTCCAAAACAAATGCCAAACAATTCATTATAGTTGCTAATGGAGATAATGTACCCATTATTGGATCTGACAACATTCAACTTGAGCCCTCTATTGTTTTAAATAATGTCTTACATGTCCCAAAATTGGCTAACAGTCTTATCTCCATGCAAGAGCTCACTAAAACTTGAATTGTTCGGTAACATTTTATCACTCTCATTGTTCTTTTCCGGACTTGGCCACGGGGAAAACGATTTTAATTGCTAAAGAACAAGGTGAGTTATACTTCCTAAAGCAAAAGCAGAATGATGACAAGAACAAGGAATCTACCTTAGGCCACCATGCAAAGAATGATACTTGGGCCACTTCTCAAATATGGCTTCAACATAAAAAACTTGGACATCCTCCTTTTAGTCTTATAAAATCTCTGTTTCCACATTTGTTTACAAAAATTTCTGTTGAATCATTCAATTGTGATATTTTTCAGTTATCTAAACACTATCGTTCTTTTCCAATTAGTGGTAATAAGAGCTCTTTCCCATTTGATTTAATTCATTCTGATTTGTGGAGACACCCATTGTGGAATCTATCTTTGGTGCTAAATGGTTTGTGACATTTATTGGTAACATGGACATACCTAATGAAAAACAAATATGAGGTTGGTGAAATATTTATCAACTTCTTCCATCTTGTTAAAAATCAGTTTGGTAAGTCCATAAAAAGAATAAGATTTGATAATGGTACAATCTATCTGAATCATGATTTGCTTAAATTTATCAATGATAATGGTATTGTATTTGAACTAACGTGTGTTAATATCCCTCTACAAAATGGGGTTGCAGAAAGGAAAAATTGTCATCTCGTAAAAGTTACTGGAGCCTTACTCTTCCAAATGTTTGCTCCTAACACTTTTTGGGGAAAAACTATCCTAATGTCTACCTATCTCATAAACAGGTTATCAACTCGAGTCCTTAGTGGTGTTAGCCCTATTGAATTGTTACGATCATTGGTTCCTTTTTCCCCATTGATGTAAGTTTACCTTGTCATGTTTTTGGTTGTGTTGCTTTTGTCCATTCACATTGTCCTCATAGAAGTAAACTAGATCAAGAGCAGTCAAATGTGTCTTTGTTGGTTACCCTTCAAATAAAAAAAGGTACAAATGTTATCATCCTCAGAGTCATCAATTTTTTGTTTCCATGGATGTTACCTTCAATGAAAATGAGTTCTTCTTTGTTTGTCCTCGGCTTTTGGGGGAGAAAAATTTAGAATCCAAAGACAAGTCTTTCTTAGAGTTATTACCATTTTTGTCTCTACAAGATGTCCAAAATGATGAAGAGGAAGATAAGTTCTTTGGCATAAAATATCAACAGAAGAAAAAACCCATCTTAGTTCCAGAAGAGGAATTGTCTGACTCGGAGGTGAGTGATCTTGAAGGTAATTTGGAGGAAGTAAGTGTTAATGATGATACTCATATCCCTATTGCTTTGAGGAAAGGGAAAAGATCTTGTGTTAAATATCCTATTTCACAGTATGTCTGTACTAACCACTTGTCTGCTCAACATCAAAGTTTTATAATTGCCATTGATTCAGTAGATATCCCAACTTCAGTCCAAGAAGCTATGAGAGAAGAACATTGGGTTCTAGCCATGAAAGAAGAAATGAAGGCATTGGAAAAGAACTTAATATGAGAGATTGTAGACATACCTAGAGACAAGAAAGCTATATGATGTAGATAAATATTCACAGTAAAGCACAAAGCTAATTGGACAGTAGAAAGATACAAAGCAAGATTGGTAACAAAGGGGTACAGATAGACTTATGGGATAGACTATGAGGAGACATTTGCACCAATGGCAAAGATGAATATAGTACGTGTTATACTTTTCCTTGCAGCTCATTTTGATTGAGACTTACAATAGTTTGATGTAAAGAATGCTTTCTTGCATGGAGATTTAGAAGAAGTTTACATGGAAATCCCCCCCCAGGATGTGGAGCTTCAACTGAAGAAAATAAAATATGTAGATTAAAAAAGGCCTTGTATGGACTCAAGCAACCTTCATGAGCATGGTTTGGGAGATTTACCTAGACAATGATTTCCTTGGGGGTCAAAAAGAGTCAAGGGGTTCATACTTTGTTTATAAAACATTCCCCTAATGATAAATTGAAGTTGGGACATCTTGCAAAGAGTAGGTAATGATCCAAATATTGACTCAACTTCCACAATATTCTACCTTTGAAGTTGAGGGTTGACAAAGAAAGGTACTGTCATGAAATGTGACTTCCATTGATACAAAAAATCAATGACTTTGAGGGTGATAACACTTGTACCATTTGTTATTAGAGGGGTGACCAATTAAGACATGTTTGACAGAAGAGAAGAATGACAACATGTGTTCATGGATTAATACCCTCTAAGACACAAGTGGGTAACTTGTTAATGAGATAGGTGGCATTTAGGATATCCTCTAAGACATTAATAACGAACATTTGAAAGATTAAAGCTCTAGTGACCTCTGTTAGGGTTGTTTTTGTGCTTTTTTGAGAGGATATATTTATCAAGAGGAGAAAGTTATATCTTATATTATTTTTATTAGGGTATTTGGGGATATTTACACACAACTCCACATTAATAAGATATTATTTTCTTTGGGGTTAAACCCTCGCAGTTTTATTTTTGGTCATCACCAAAGGGCCTCTAACTAATGGAGTATGTCTGTATATCTATTGTAACTAACTAACTGAAGTTAGGTTTGCGGAGCTGTCAGTTAGATCTGAGTTGTAGTCTAGTCAACACAGCTTCTTGTGTAAGCTACTGCTATCTATATAATACATAAATCTATACTTCTTTCATAATAAGAAATACTTATTTCAGTTTACACATTTCTCTCTGCTTTTTTCAACCAAAAACAATGTTTTCAGATTTCGGAGAGATGAAAAACAGAATTTTTTTAGGAACCAAAATCGAAACTCTGATTTATAAGAACTAAACTTATTTAAGCCAAAAAGATATTATCATGTATTTCTCAATTTTTCTAACATTCCCGGAGTCTTCAACAAGTCATCAAAAAGTTAGAAGTGATTATGAACATGGCAAAAAACTCAATCAATGTGGCACAAACTAGCCATGCAACCCATCCACAGTCTTGGTGCATTGGTGTGCAAACCTCTTGAAGAATCTAAGCCATGTAATGCAGATGCTGGCTTCCCTAATGCTGAAAAGTGGTCTTATGTCATCATATCTAACTCAAGAGAAACAACTTTAATACGACTGACAAGAAATTTTAAGAACAGATTACCGGTTTAAAGAAGGAATTTAGATGTCATACCCAAATTCTGGAGCAGGTTTGTATATTATATTTATATCACAATACAGGGTAGTAATATACATGTAGAGACATAGCAAAAATAAAAGACTAAAATATTGTATTAACAATTGTTTTCTTTGTTTGTTTGTTTGTTTTTTTTTTTTTTTTTTCCCTCAGGCCTTCTTTTCTGAGCATCCCCAATATGCAAAGAATGATTTTTTTATTACAGGCGAATCATATGCTGGACACTATATTCCTGCTTTTGCAACACGTATCCATCGTGGAAACAAAGCTAAAGAAGGAATTCATATAAACCTGAAGGTTTGCTACATTAGATGATAAACCATTTCTATGTGACAAAATTATATTGAAGGGAAAGAATACTTTCTTATCTTATTTTAATTGTTTGAACAGGGATTTGCCATTGGTAATGGGCTTACTAACCCTGCAATTCAGTATAAAGCTTACCCAGATTATGCGCTGGAAATGGGCATCATTAAGAAGGCTACACATAACCGCCTTAACAAAGTATTGGTTCCAGCCTGTGAATTGGCAATAAAGCTATGCGGTAATATACATTTTGGGCTTTTAACTTTCAACATATGCTATATTTCTTGTCATATTTGAATGTTTGGAATGAGGGCTAAAAATTATAATGGGCTGAAGAGTCAAGCAACCAAATGTTTTAAATTTTTGATTGGTTTTTGAAGCTCCAATTCAACCCTCCAACTCTTCAAGAAAGGAGAATTGTATTGTGTTAGGGTTATTTTTGTAATTTGTTTGAGAGGGATATATTATTCAAGAGGAGGGTTATATCTAGGGTGTTTGTCGGTTCGGACAATCTGATAAATCTGATGATCTAAACCAAATCAATTAAGTTGGTTCAATTTTTTTTTCTTGATTGGATCAAATCCAATCCAAACCAATGAAATCCAACCTTAATTGGTTTGGATCACGGTTTTGCATTTTACAAATCCGATGATTTGAGAATCGAACCAATTAAAATTATTTATTTTATTTTATTATTATAATTATTATCTTAATATTATTTTATAACATTGAGATTTTATTATTAACACAATGATTTTATTAAAATGCATGAAGACTACTTGAATAATGATTGTAACTTAGAATATTTAATTATGTTTTAGGATTACCTTAGTTTTAAATGTTCGAATACTTTAATTTTAAATGTTTGATTATGTTTGATTACTTTAATTTCATATTTCTTGCATTACTTTTTATTTTATTTTATTTACGTTTGAATGCTATTTACACTATTTTAATAATGTTTTATTTAAATTTTGAAATAAAATAATGTATTTTATGTGTTTTAAAAAAATAAATATCTACCAATTTTTTTAAGAAAACTGATTAATCCAAAACCAAACTAAACCATTGTTGATTGGTTTAGTTTGGTTCAGATCACAAAATTTGTTTTGGTAAATCCGATCCAAACCAAACTTATCAAAATTAATTGGTTTAGTCTTTAATTTATCCCAAATCCGAACCCAACCGGTCCATGAACACCCCTTATATCTTCTTTATTGTTTATCAGGATATTTGTGCATAGATCTCCATATTGCATAAGATATTGTCTACTTTGAGCTTACATTCTCATAGTTTTATTTTTAGTCATCACCTAAAAGGTCTCTTTATGATGGAGTATGTATGTGCTTTATAAACTCTTAGGTCCTTTATTTGAGGGAAGAATTATTGAGGTACAAGCAAGGTCCCACATCATTAGAACAAGAGGAGAAACAAGAATTAATGAAACACATACATACTCTATTAGGTAGAGGCCTTTTAGGTGATAACCAAAGGTATAACTATGAGGGTATAAGCCCAAAGTGGACAATATCTTATCCAATGTGGAGATGTGTGTGCGAATATCCCGATAAATAATAAAGAAAATATAAACTCTTCTCTTGACAAATATATCCATCTCAAACAAATCACAAAAATAACCCTAACAGTTTGTATTGCATTTTTTTTATTGTTTGTATGTATGTGTTGTGGGTTGTTTTGTTGGTTTTTTTGAGAGGGCTATTGTCCATTTTGGGTCTTCACCCTCATGGTTTTGCTTTTGGTTATCACTCAAAAGGCCTATTTCCAATTTCCAATCGCTATATATATACTATATAAACTTTTATTTCTCATCTTATTCTAATGATGTGGGATCTTGTTTGTATCCCAACAGACGGGTCATTACTTGGGGTCACACCCATGGTTGTCAATTTCTAGTGATAACTTGTAAAATCGTATAACTTGGAAGCAAACTCGTTTTTGAGTAATCTCGGAGTAATCTCGGTGATCTCGCGTAATCTTGTGTGATCTCGCGAGATCAGTCCGATTTTAAGAGATCACGAATTTTATTTGTTCTCAAAATAAACTAAACAGCCCGTTTTGGTTAGGGCTGAGAAGAGAGTTTTTGATTTCACTCTCACTGCGTTACGAAACCCTTCTATCTCATCCTCTGTCTTCTCCATGCGAAGGCGAACCAGTGAACCACTCTTCTCCTCTGAGCTTTCTCCTCCTTTGTCTTCTCCACCGCGAAGGCGCGAACCAATGAAGCACTCTTCTCCTCCGTGCGTTCTCCTCCTCTGTGTTCTCCTCCGCGAAGGTGACCACTCTTCTCTATCTTTTCCTCCATGCACGAACTAGTCTTCTCCTTTGCGAACCACTCGTCTCCGTACGCGATCCTCTGCCTTCTCCTCCTCGAGTTGCGCAGCTTCTCGAGTTAAAATGCTACTATTATGTTATTTTACTCTTTATTTGGAGTTAAAATATTCAATTATTATGTTATTTCTAATTATTTTTATAATTTTTTTATTGAGTAATCTCTTACGAGTTTACGATACGAGTTTACGGAGCCTCCACGAGATTACATAAACTCTCGAGATTAACAACCTTGGTCGCACCTACTCCAACCAAGACTCTAGCCACTACACATGAATCACAATACGACTCTTAAATAGAAACATAGCTAATGAGAGGATGGAAGTAAGGGCTGAATGAAATTGGGTCAATCTATTGACCAATTGGACCAATCCTTAACCATTGAATCTTATTCTCTCCTGACACTATGAGGTGGGCCCAAGAAGCTTTTATTCAAATTCTTGGAACAATGGTGAAGGGTTTAATTGTATTCTCACCTGCATACAAAATTTGGTTTAAGAGTTTGGCAACAAATGAGTTAATGGTTACTCCTTTGATTCTAATCGAATAGCTGCAGTAGCTCTAGACCACAATCACTGGGACTCAAGGGGATGTTTCTTTTCAACTCGTGGGACCCATTATGTAAGCATTAACATTGTTTGATGGTTAAAAATATTGTTTGCAGCTGAGCTATATATGTATATAGAGAAGTGATTCACTTACTCTAAGAGTAACTCTTACTCAATAACTCATGATTTATATTGAATTTAACGATATAACCGTTGAATTAAAAGTTCTTAATGGTTAGATAAAGTCTAGAAATTTTTACAAAATTTGAAAACTATTTGGTGTCATTATATTGATTCAAAATGACATATATTCATTAAGGCATATTATATGTCAATTTGAATCTATATTATAAGTATCAAATAGTTTTTAAATTTTGTAAAAATATGTAAAGTTGATTTATTCATTAATAACTTTTAATTCAATGGTTGGATCAATGAAAATCAATGTAGACTGAGTTATTAAGTGGAGTAATAATACCAAGAGTTACTCTTGGAGGAAGTGGTTCCCTCCCTCCTTCCTTCCTTCCATATAGATAAATAGATAGATAGAAGAGGGATCCACTTACTCTAAGAATAAGTCTATCTAGACTTACTTCACTTAATAACTCATGTTTTATATCAAATTTCGACAATCCAATTATAGAATTCAAAGCTTTTAATGCATAGACCAAGTTTGCAAAGTTTTTAAAAATTTGAAAATTATTTGATGGTCTGTTTCATCAATTCAAATGACGAATAATCATAAAAATATTTTTGTCGTGATTGCATGAATCTAAATTCACTATTTTTTTAAAAAACAATTTACTTTTTATTTAAATTAAATTTATAGAGGTATGAATTTGTGCCTCAACTCTACTAGTATTATATTAATTTGATACTTTTTATTCTTGATATAAACTTGACATTGTTATATTTTATTAAAGTTTTGACTTTAATATTATGTTTTATTTTGTTTGGAATTTCACGTATACATTGAATGTTAAGAAAATATAAATAAAGTTCTATTTTAAATTTTTGTGTATAAAATTATGATATTATGTTTATTTAATATTATTATTTTTTATATTAATAATAATAGTTATTTTTTATTTTATTAATACTAATTTGATCTCGATTCAACTTTGGTGGAACTAGTGCTTAGACTGATTCAATGACAACTTCTATTTTGAAAACATTGCTTTTTAATATATAACATGGTAATTGAACTAGAACATAATCTGTGTATTGGTAAGCCTAGTTTCTGAATTATGATTCGAATCGTATCATGATTTGTAAGATTCTTGATCAATAGTATAAATAGCACATATGTATACATACAAGACACATAAAGCACTCAAAGGACTTCCTAAAACATACGAAAAATGGAAAATACACATATAGTAACATATAAGCTTCAATTGTTAATTAGTACTATGGGAATCTTGATATGATTCATGTGAGATACAAAATGATTTACTATGCCAATGATGGGAATCGTGATTTGTGTGATGAATTGTGCGATCCATTTTCGTTGCAGGTTGCATCCGAAATGTGGTTCTGGTCTCTTTCTTTTTTTGTTTGTTCTTCACTTGCTATTGGTTGGGTGTTGGTCCCTTCTTCTTTGTCTCATTTTTTTTCTTCTATTTTTGTGGTGGTCCCTTCTTCGTTCCTGTTATTGGTTGGGTGGTTGGTCATTTGTGTGCTGTTGGTTGGTATTTTTGTGGTGGTCTGTTTTCTTCTTGTTGGTGGATGGTCCTCTTTTTACTTGTTGCTGGTTGGTGGATCCTATTTGTGCTACTTGTTGGTGGTCCCTATTTCTGCTAGTTGTGGGGACTTTATTGAAGGACGAGTCAAGCAAAGAAGGTGATTGATACTCTATCGCATTATAGTGAGTTTCCCCCCAAATAGACTTCAAGTGAAATATAAGTTCTGTTCACATGTTTGTTGGGGTGGAATTGCAAGGATGAAACATCATCTTGCTGAAAAAAAATAAATGTGGATGCTTGTACAAATGCTCTTAATGATGTTAAGGAAACATTTGTCAAGCTATTGGAAACTAATGGAAAAAAAAGAAGAATAACATTGATTGTTGGGAAGAAGTAGCAAAAGGAAAGGAAGGGACATCTAAAATTATCAAACAAAAGACAATGAATCAAGTTTGTAACGATTGGAATGTTATGGTTTAAGGAATTTGCAATGCATTACCATTAAATTTGTTAAGGAGTCCTCTTTTTGTTCAAATGTTGAAGGTTGTTGGAGAATATGGTAAATGTTTGAAGCCTCTTACTTATCATGAGGTGAAAGTTTTATTTTATTTTTTTGTTAAAGAAATGGTTGGAAACATTCAAAGAATTCTAGAGAAATATAAAAGTGAATGGGAGAAATGAGAATGCACCTTGATGTTTGATGGTTTAATGCATCTTTAAAGGAAGATCACTCACTAACTTCCTAGTTAATAGTCCAAGTGGTATTGTTTTTTAGAAATCTATTGATTCTAGTGATGCAATAAAGTATGGAAAACAAATGTTTGAGTTGTCGGGCAATGTTGTGGAACAAATTGGGTAGAAACAACTAGTCCAAGTTGTAACATACGAGACTTCTAATCTTGTGAGAATTGGGAAAATGTTAATGGAAAGAGAACCAAATTAATTTGGTCCCCTTGTGCAACTTATTGCCTTGATCTAATCCTTGTGGACATTAGAGAGCTTCTAGTATTCTATAATACCATTGACAATGCAAAAAAGATCATTATCTACATATATAGGCATAAACAAGGCCTTAATTTGTATAGGAAGTATTCTAAGGGAGGAGAATTGGCAAGAGCAATTGTAACAAGGTTTGCAACTTCTTATCTTACACTAAATTGCATTAAGCAACAAAGGAATGATCTTATATCTATGTTTGTATCAGAGGAATAGACTACTAGTACACATGCTAGTGTTAAGGCTTAAAGATGGTGATTCAAAATGAGCTATGCCATACATTTATGAAGCAATGCATATGGATAAAGAGCGAATTGTTGAAAATTTTCAAAAGCAAAAAAAATAAGGTATTAAATGAAGAGTCAGGAAACACAGAATTCCGGGGGGGGGGGGGGTTGAATGTGTGTTTGGGGTTTTAAACCTTTTTCAAAAACACACTATTATAAGTTCATATACAAGCTTTTCTCCAAGATAAGTGTAGAAAAAGGGAAAGCAAAAAGAACACTTAAAATTTTATTTATATTGATTCACTCAACCTAAGCTACGTTTAATTACCTTCAATCTCGAAGGGTTCCACTAAGTTGAAAACTTTATACAACAAATATTCTTGTCTACCACTCCTGGCTTACAAACATAAACTTCTTGTTTGCAGTATTCTTTAACTAACCTTTTTAAGCTCACAATGATGTTATAAGATGGTTTACTGGATAACCTTCACAAAGAGGATATAGAAGTTTAGGGTTATCTTAGATAAGTTGACTTGCTCAAGCAATGATGTTCTTAGGCTTATCTCAAGTATTGTCCATTGAATAGATGAAGTATGATCAGAGTTTTAGCACATTGAAAAAAAGTTTATATTCATCGGGTTCAATGAAGTTTTCTCTCCTCTTCAAGTCTTCACTTTTCTTGTATTTATAGGTTTCTTGAATATATCCATTTTGTTGTGAGAGCCTTGGTAGTGATCGGTCTATCTTGGCATTGAATGCATGTTGAATATGGTTGTTGAGATCTATGCACTATGATGTTCAGAGCAATGAAGTCTTCACCTAGAATAAGGCATGAGACAAAGATGACTTTGTTGAACACTTTTTTGTTGGGATTGTTAGAATAGTGGATTAAGCCTAACTCAACCCTACAAAACCGGCTTGTAAGGTGAGGGTTGCTTTCCACTTATATACTATTCAATTGCCTAATCTCTAGTCGATGTGGGACTTGGGTTTTTCCCAATACACCCCCTCACGTCCAGCACTATTGGGCTTGGTACGTGGATAAATGGTAGGTGACCCTTTTTAATGATCTAGGATTGGCGGGATTTGAGTTTTTCCCAATACATCCCCTCATGCCTGTGAGGCATGCATCAATGGTGGGTGTCCCATTTTTAAAGTGGATCTAAATGGCTCTGATACCATGTTAGAATAGTGGATTAAGCCTAACTCAACCCTACAAAACCGGCTTGTAAGGTGAGGGTTGCTTTCCACTTATATACTATTCAATTGCCTAATCTCTAGTCGATGTGGGACTTGGGTTTTTCCCAATAGGGACTAACATGTTCCTTTTGTAGTTGCCTTTCCTTTTTTGGATGTTGCAATGTGACACCTTTACTGTACCATTCTACACGCATACAAAAAAGAGGAAATAAAACATACATGCATTTATAACTTGTATAGATTATCAAAATGCTTATCAAAGATTGTTTTCAAACGTTCTTAGGGTTTGATTTAATCGCAAAGATGTTCATACAAGTGTTAAACTTGTGTACACTTAAAGATGTAGATGCTAGTCTAATGTGTTGCATGTTGGACGTAGACATTGACAAGTCGTTTTAATTTAGTGTTACACTTGTTTATTTTTATGCATTTGATAGAAGATGGTTTATTAATTAAAACATTTTTGTCTTCATTTCTTCTATGATTTGGATGCATGATTCCAACAATGACTTAGGTAAATTATTAGCCCATCAAGATCATGACTTTGTTATCATCAAAACTAGAGTGTTAGACGTTTTCTTCATCTTTGGTTCAACATAAAAAAGCATGGAAGATTATTGATACTAGGCAAAGTTTTCAACTACATAGGGCTCTTCATGCAATTGCCTATTATCTCCATCCTAAGTAAGTTATATAAATCTAATCTTGTTATTTTTGCAACAACTATCTTTGATCCTCTAACAACTTTCATATTTAGTTAGTATCATTATGACAAAACTTTACTCTAGAAAGTGAGGTGTTGATTGGTTGTATGAAACCTTTCAAAGAATGGTTTTGGATACAAGGACAAGAGTTATAATGGATCAACAACTATATGATTACCATACGGTTCATACCTAGAAACATGTCGCATGCCCTTGACCATTCGTCTTTGTAACTTTTTAGGTTCCGGCTAGTTTCGAAGCTATTGTTCACTTCTTAGTCCAATCATGAAACTAAATACGAACAAATTTCTCTTAGAATAGTGGATTAAGCCTAACTCAACCCTACAAAACCGGCTTTGTAAGGTGAGGGTTGCTTTCCACTTATATACTATTCAATTGCCTAATCTCTAGTCGATGTGGGACTTGGGTTTTTCCCAATACACCCCCTCACGTCCAGCACTATCAGGCTTGGTACGTGGATCACCCACCATTTATCCACGTACCAAGCCTGATAGTGCTGGACGTGAGGGGGTGTATTGGGAAAAACCCAAGTCCCACATCGACTAGAGATTAGGCAATTGAATAGTATATAAGTGGAAAGCAACCCTCACCTTACAAAGCCGGTTTTGTAGGGTTGAGTTAGGCTTAATCCACTATTCTAAGATGGTATCAAAGCCATTTAGATCCACTTTAAAAATGGGCCACCCACCATTGATGCATGCCTCATAGGTGTGAGGGGGTGTATTGGGAAAAACCCAAGTCCCGCCAATCCTAGATCATTAAAAAGGGCCACCCACCATTTATCCACGTACCAAGCCTGATAGTGCTGGACGTGAGGGGGTGTATTGGGAAAAACCCAAGTCCCACATCGACTAGATATTAGGCAATTGAATAGTATATAAGTGGAAAGCAACCCTCACCTTACAAAGCCGGTTTTGTAGGGTTGAGTTAGGCTTAATCCACTATTCTAAGAATTTCTAACATTTATTTTCACTTAATATATTATTTGCAAGTTGACATTCAAGTTGAGAAAAGAATTCATAAAGACTATTTGGATAATAATTGTAACTTGGACAATTTAGTTATGTTTGACAGTCTGTCTTAGTTTTAAATGTTAGAATACTTTAATTTCAAATGTTAGTCTATGTTTGACTACTTTGATTTCGTATTTCTTACATTATTTTTTTTTCTTTACGTTTAAATGTAATTTACAACTCTTTAAATCATAGATTCTTATTTAATTTTTGGGATAAAATAATGTATTTTTTATGTTTTAATAAAATAAATATCTAGCATTTTTTATTCAAGAAAACTGGTTAATCCGAACTAAACCAACCCATTGTTGATTGGTTTGGTTTAGTTCAGATTGCAAATTTTATTTTTGGTAAATCCGATCCAAACAAAACCAATCTAAATTGATTGGTTTGGACTTTAGTTTATCTCAAATTCGAACCACATTGGTCCATGAACACCTTACTAATTTCTCTCATCTTGTGGCGTTACACTTGAGACTCAAAATTCTCATGGCTACCTTTTGCAATGCTTTAGCTGCTACACCATGACTCTCCTTCCAAAGAGCTATCAAAACTGTAGAATTAAATTATAATGCAGTTAACAAAGTTATTGCTGTCTCTATGATGAATATAAACGGTAGTGACTAAAGAGATACCGTGTTGCTTCTTATTTCTAGTATCTATTAGCATGCCCATTCCAAAAATCCTCTTTGCTCCCCCTGAACTTTTCAAGTTGTTGATCCATTGTAACTCTGTCCTTGTATCTAGAACCATTTTAAAAAAAATTTCATATAGACCAATCAACACCTTATTATTCGTATTGAAGTTTTTGTCATAATAATACCTAACCAAATAAGAAATAAGTTGTTAGGCACAATAAAGATAGTGGTACTTAAATTGACAATTAGTTTTAAATAACATCTCTTGGGGTCGGAAAAACTGTTACAGCTTACACAAGACTCAACAATACAGCTTACAAAGGACTCTTTTATACCTGGATTTTTGACAGCTTGAATGTGTCAACGTGAGGTCAATTGCATATTTGAATCAAAATTAAATTTGAACCAGTACTACGTCTGGTTTCCGGTTTGTCCAGCCAGTCCGACCCAGGTTTCATAACATTGCTTACTACACTGATATATAATTATCACACAATGTAATTACTATTAAAATGCGATGTTTCTAAATTTTTTAAAAGGTTTAATAAATTCACCAACAACTTTAGATATGGAAGTATATAGTTAGAGAACTAGTTTGTTTATTTCTAGTGATCAAGTAATCTTTAAGTGTTTTTAATGGCCTGATCACTATTCTCACAGGAAGTAAAGGGTCAAGAATCACTGCCTGATTTTCACTGAAAAACAGTGCTCCCACTTGTTTAGAGCCTTCTGGTTGGCTTTTGTTACCTTTCTTACTAATATTTGTTTTAATCCTTTCAGGCACTGATGGAAAGGCTGCCTGTGCGGCTGCATATGTAGTATGTAATGCCATATTCAGTGACATCATGTTACATGCCGGACAAACAAATGTGGGTGAACAAACTTTTCTTTGTTGTGGTTGACATGTTGTCAGCTGTACTTTGGCTTATATAAAAACTTATTGTTATTGAGCATGAAGCATGGTTTAAATATTGCTTTCTTGATACCTTGAGCTATAACTTAAATTAAATAATGCTAGTGGGGATGATATTTTTCTATCCCACTTGTTCTTATAATACCTTGTGAAAAACCATTCAACCTAGCAGTGAGGAGCAAATGAAGAAATTGCTTTGTATAAAATTGTTTATATCTGATAACTTCTGTTCTTGTTTTCCAGAGATTTTATTATGAACTTGTTAGTTACTGTTGGGAGAATTTTCCATGTGGGAAAGAAATACTAAAATACCATTTATCATGAAGAGAGGTATAAGGAGTTAGTTTATATAGTTTGGAACACAGTTAAATTGGTGAAATACCCCCTCACTACATCATGTGTAGATAATCAACCATTTTCCAAACCAAAAAAGTCTGTTGTATAAACACCTTTAACTGTTTCTTAATTGAGGATTTTAATTGAGAGATTTTATAACATATGATAAGAAAGTCATTTATGCTGCTAATAGGTCAGAAGAATCTCGTATCTTGATATATATGGTAATTTCCATCTTGAAGCAATATATGGATATGAGGAATGCTAACAGCATACTCCTTCTAACATACTCTCTACTATTAAATGATATTAGAAACTACAAAATCACGAGTGAAACTTGTTAAATGAGAAGTGAGACTTCTAAAATTTTTTGATTTTCACTAAATTTCAACCAATAGTTGGGAGTGTTCAAAAGAGTGCTTTTATATATTGATATATTCATAATTTTTACCAGCAGTTATATTTTTATGTTGCAGTACTATGATATCAGGAAAAAGTGTGTGGGGAGCCTTTGTTATGATTTTTCAAACATGGAGAAGTTCCTGAACCAAAAATCTGTTCGGGATTCACTAGGGGTTGGGAAAATTCATTTTGTTTCTTGTAGCACCAAAGTTTATACAGCTATGTTGGTGGATTGGATGAGGAATCTTGAAGTTGGTATTCCCGCCCTTCTTGAGGATGGAATCAGTTTGCTTGTGTATGCTGGGGAATATGATCTCATCTGCAACTGGCTTGGTTTGTATTTACTCGTGATGTATTTAAGATTTGTTGATAAATTTAATATTTCATATTTATAACCTTTCAATGAATGAAGTTATGGACCTTTTCTTCGTGGTGTGATTTCAATGAGTAGGTAATTCAAGATGGGTTAATTCCATGGAATGGTCTGGTCAGAAAGAATTTGCAACCTCACTTGAAGTTCCTTTTGTTGTTGATGGATCAGAAGCCGGATTATTGAAGAGCTATGGACCTCTAAGTTTCCTAAAGGTCTTTTATTTTCTCTCTTCATCCACATACTTACGCTGTGAAAACTGTCAATAGCATCTTGAATAAAATGGATTACCTCATTCAACATTACTTTCTGTGTGAAATACCCCGACGATACTTGGGCTGTGATTACACCCCAATTTTAACATCCCGATAAAGGTAAATATAACTAGTGCTTTCAATGTTAGTGATTCGGACAGAACGTTAAAAGTAACGGTGATTTCACACTAAGGAATATCTGTTTCGTGCGGGGTCTAATTGCACACTTTTCTGCCATGATCAAGTGCATACTTGTTCTTCGGCACTGCTAACAGGCAAATATAATATTGTCCAGAAATAGACACTCCATTTATCTACCGAATTCATTTCCTGTATTGCTCGTTGTAAAAGGAAAATGTTTATTTAGTTCAATATTTTCTGTAACAAAAACAGGTCCATGATGCGGGTCACATGGTTCCAATGGACCAGCCCAAGGCTGCATTAGAGATGCTGAAG